TTTTCTCCAAGGAAAGTTCAACACAAGGGCCAAGAAGATTGGAAGCCTTCTTCAAGATGGTTTCTACCCCTTCTCTTTGTGTTTCTCCCATTTCTAGCATGGAGTAGAATTCTTTTCACTTGGGTGTTGAGAAAACCTAAATCTACCATGTAGTTTTCTTTTATTTGACTTGAATGATTGTCATTGGGTATTGTTTAATTCAAATGTTTGAGGTATTATTCATCTTGATTGTGCATGTTTGTGCTTAGCATCCTTAGGTTTGTGCATGTCTATGCTTAGCAACCTAAGGATTGTGCATGTCTATGCTTAGCAATCTAATTAGCCACTTAACCTAGTCTAGAGAGGGAAAGCCCCCTTCCAAGGGAGTCTCAATTGAGTTGGTATCCCTAGGGCTTTTCAAGTCTTCTAACTAGGTTAATTTAGGGCAAACCTCAATGTTGGATTAAGCAATTTCGTTAAGCGTAATTAAGCCGTCCAACCCTTGGGTTGAGTGAGGGAGTAAGTCAACCATTGGTTGCCTAAACCGAGAGGGCCTAGTGACAGCCTATAATACATGCCTCGGTTTAGCAATCATGAGCCTGGTCTACGACCATATTCGCGTTCCCTAGCGGTTAGCGATCACCTTGCCCGTAGCAATAATTTCGGTTCACATACCATGGTAGTAGTTAGGGGGAAGCGACACCCGAGTGATTCTTCCACAAAAGAGCTTTCAAAACCATTCACCTGTGTTTTGTTTTACTTTAACTAGAAAACTTTCAACCAAAACTTTAATGATTCAAATGACTGAAGTAGGGGTAGACGGACCGGCCCAGGTTGATATTTAAACATACTTATCATGTACTGCACCCGACTAAGGTTTATACTTGGACCTTAGGTGGGAAATTATTGTGGTATTCAGGACGAGTCAAGTTTTTGGTGCCGTTACCGAGGACAACGGTCTATTATCTTGAAGAAGTTGTTTGGTGTTAATCTAGCTTTTAATTTCCAGTTTTGAAAGTGTGTGTGCTTTGCTTGTGCTAGACTTGGTGTGTTTTCCGATTGTGTGTAGGTGGTGCATGACTCGGAGTAACCTGACACCTTTGCTACCACTTGAAGAGGACATAAACCGAACTCTCCGGATCCTTGAAAGGGATAGAGAGCTAGCGGAGGCAAGGAGAAGGAGTGAAGGAAGGGGACAACATTTGGGTCCTGGTGTTAGTGGAGAAGAAGTTGAAGAAGTTGAACCCGTCGTTGTAGTAGAAATGGCGGGGAACCAAAGGCAAGACGGAGCCCAAGCTCGTCAACTGAACGATGCGCTGGAGGAAGAGGAATCCCCGAGGACGATGAGGTACTATATGGCCCCAAGGATGGCGGACATTCAATCACCAATCCTACATCCTCTGGTGGCGGCAAACAATTTCGAGATCAAGCCGCCTCTAGTGACTATGATATGAACAATGCTTTATTCAACTGCCTTGAGAGTGAGTCAACAAGAGAGCATGTGCAGATATTCTTCGAGCTCCCGGAGAGCTTGAAAATCAATGGTGTGCAGGCCAAAGCTTTGCAACTAAAGCTTTTCCCGTATTCACTTTCGGGGAAAGCACCTAGGTGGCTTAACAACCGCCCACCTCGGTCAATCACCTCATGGGACGACCTCCTCAACAAGTTTATGGCTCTCTACTGCCCGCCTTCGAAGACGGCGGAGTGGAGAAAGAAGATAACCCATTTCGAGCAAGAAGAGAAAGAGACCTTGGGGGATGCTTGGGAGAGGTACTCAGACTATTTTTTTCAGTGCCCTCACCACGGGTTTGAACAACAGTTTCGGATCGAAACCTTCTACGGAGGCCTAATGCAAGAAGATAACATTCTCATTGACTCCTTGTGTCAAGGGAAATTGATGAATATGGCTCCACCCCAAATAACCGAGATACTTGAAGATATGTCCCTTAGGGGGTATGATTGGGGGTTGACTAGAAGCGGAAGGAGAAGGAATGATAGGAGAGTGAGAACTCGCTCCGCTTGAGGCGAAGTTGGATAAGTTGATATAGGTTATGCTTGAAGATAAGAGGCAAGGAAAAAGGGCGGTGATGTCGTGCGACTGGTTCTCGAGCACCAGTCATGAGATGGTGGAGTGTCAAGCAATGAAGGAGGAAACCGCTTCGGAGGAACAAGTCAACTTCGTGGAAAATGCTAGGGTCAACAACCAGTATATCAATACTTATAACCCCGGATGGAGGAACCACCCCAAATTTGCTTGGGCATCGCCGACAAATCCGAGGCCCCCGGGTTTTCATGACCCCACGAGGAATTTTCAACCTCGCTCGGCCTTCATCCAACAAAGACCTCAAGTCCAAGGCTCGGGCTTCCAACAACCGTACCAAGCATAAGGTGCCCTAGGGTTTCAACAACAACAATAACAACCCGACAAGCTATCTAAGCTTGAAGACCTAGTGAACAACTTTGTGATTACAAGTTCTCAAAAGTTCAGAGAAGATAGAGAAATTTATGAGAGTGTAGACTACCAAGTTTACCTTAGTTGAGGCGGGTCTCCGAAGCCAACAAGCGAACCTCCAAAGCTTGGAGGTGCAAATCAACAAGCTTTCCAGCATCCTCATCGAGAGACCCAAGGGAGCCCTACCTTCCCAAACAGTGGCAAACCCCAACAACCATGTCGGGTTGAATGCACTTCAAGTGAAGAGTGTGAGGTGATTTCGCAAGTCGCCACTGAAGAAGTGAAGGAGAAGGAAGATACCAACCCAAAGAAGGGAGAGAAGAAGATCTCGAGGAATGAGAGGAAGGCCGCAAGGAAGGCATCTCCGGTGGGGGAGTACACGCCACCTCTTCTTTTTTCCACGAGGATGTACAAGGAGAGGTTGAAGGACAAGTCTGGAGGTTTCATGGAAATTCTCCGCAACCTCCACCTCAACATCCCTTTCCTTGAAGCCATGGCTCAAATGCCAAGATATGTCGTACCTCAAAGGATTCCTCACCAAGAAGCCAAGGCTTGAAGGCCTCGCCAATGTGACTCTTGGCGAGGAGTGTTCGGTTTACCTCCTCAACCGCTTGCCCAAAAAGCGTTCCGACCTAGGTAGCTTTACTATTGCTCTTGATATTGGTAACCATCATATAGACAATGCCTTGGCGGACCTAGGAGCTAGTGTTAATGTGATGCCCTACAAGCATTTCAAAAAGTTAGAAGTAGGTGAACTTAAGACCTCTAAGCTTAGCATCACCTTAGCCGACCGTTCGGTCATTAGCTCGAGGGGTATTGTGAGGACATGATGGTGAGAGTGGGCAAGTTTTGCTATCCGACCGATTTCGTGATTCTTGAGATAAGTGAGGACTCGGATATGCCACTCATCCTCGGTCGTCCGTTTCTTGCCACCTCCAAGGCATTGATAGACGTTAAGGAGAGAATCAAGCTTGAAATTGACCCTAAGGTTACGAGTGATGAAGTGAAGGAAGTGGTTTCAAATGATGTGAATGAGAGTGAAGGAGAGCCTCTCAAGGCAAACCCCACCATTACTTGTGTTGCTTTTGGTAATGTTGAGCAGGAAGTGAAGGAGGGTACTAAGCCCAAGGAGAAGAGGAAGAATGTTTGGAAGAAAAAGATGAAAGAAGCTTTGGCCCGAAGGAAGGAGAACGCCAAAGCGAAGTTGGCCAATCAAGAGGGCCAACTCATAGAGCCTAAGACGGGAGGCTACAAGCCTCGCCCCGAGAGTGTGGTGGATCCACTCTCGGAGGCATCACGATCCAAGTCGTGATCATCCCCAACCGTCAAGCTAGTGACGATAAATTACCGCTTGTTGGGAGGCAACCCAACGGAGGTTTATTTTCTTTTTCTTATTTTTGTTTTTGTGTCAAGTGAAGAGTTCAAGTGGTGTCCCTGTGCCAAGTTTTGTGGTTTTGCGATTTACGGTTTTGTTGTGATCGATTAGGAGGCACGGTGGAATAGGTTGAGTCAAATTTTTCTTAGAAGTGTCCTGTTTTCTCTGATGTTCACGGACGGATTACTGAGTTCACGGTCTTGTTCACGGACTTACAAGACCGTGAACAGGCAAACGGGTCCGTGAACTAGACGCTTCTGAATGTTCACCACCTGTCGACCAACCCCAGTTCATGGACGCATTTGAGTGTTCACGGTCGCTAAGACTGTGAACAAGGCAACGCGTCTGTGAACTTCGAGTTGTGCCTATACAAGGGGCGTGAATGACGACTCTTCACTTCACGACCAAATCTCGCCGGAAAATTTCAAATCTTCGCCAGAAAAACGCAAAACTCCGTCGGTTTTGTCAATTTTCCCCCATTTTCGGCGAGCAAAACCAAAACCAACGTCATAACCATTCTCCCCTCATCAAAACCGCCATGTGCTTAAATTTTGGGGAGATTTGGGTCAACTTTTTCCGGTCAAGGCGTCGGCGGCAAGCTTCCGACGAAGCTCAGACGACCCCTCTCCGATCAGTTTTTCAGCCGTTTTTTGCCTTCCTCGCCTGCACCTCACTTCCTCCTACGCCTACTTGCGTCTCCAGGTTGGTTTTTTCATATTTACCTTATTAATTTGTGGAGAATCGGATTAGGTAGTGAAGCGAGGATGATTTTTGTTCTTTGTATGTTGAACCTAGATTTAGGGCGAGGAATTAGGTGAATTAGGCCGAATGGTGGAATGATTTTTGCATGAGCTTAGTTGAGCCTTGCTGGGTGTGTTTGATCCAAATTGCCTTTTTTTTTAGAATTTGCCCACCAAGTGCTATGTTATGAATGCAAGTGGAGTTTTATGCTTAATTGGTGGATGGTAGCCACCGTGGTTTGGGTTTTGGTTCAACTTTTTGTGTGCTTGAACTGTGAATTACCCACAACCATGCCACTGTGTGCTTGAGCTTAAATGTTTAATATCCATGGTGGAACAATAAATGTGTGTGTGTGGGGGGGGGGGGGGGGATCTCTTTTCCTCCCAATGAGCATTAATTGATGATTGTTTCCATGTATGGTGTCTGTTTGTCAATTTGTGCAGGATGCTTAACGTGGAGCACGAGTACATCCGATACTTGGTGAACCACCCGGATTTTGGCGACAAGTTCGCCTACCAAAGTGGCAGCCCGATTGGGCCTCATTGGCAGCTGGACCTGGACATGTTCAATTGTTCAGGTTTCGAGCCGCGATGACCGGGGTCCTCTCTCACCCCCAGTGGCGTCGGATCTTGACGATGGATGAGGAGATCTACCACAAGCTGTGTGTGGAGTTCTACTCCACCTTCTCCCACATCGTCCCGGCCAACAATAAGAGTCAACCGAGGGCGGAGTTCATGTTGGGAGGTAAGGCACAAGTGCTGACCTACGACGCCTTTGCTCAAGCGACGGGGCTCGACCCCACCCACATGACGATGACGGAGCGGCAGTACTCATTCCACTTCGACTATCAGCAAGCATTCCGAGCTCTCTGCCGCCCCGAGCATGAGCACGACTAGTTTAAGGGGATTCGCACCAACGCGGTGAAGCTGAAGACCCAGTGGAGGATCCTCCACACTTTGCTCATCCACTCAGTCATCCCCACCAGCCAGTCTGGTCATCTGATGACGAACAGAGGGCTCGTTTCCCTCTACTCCATGAGGAGCCCAGCAAAGCCGATCCATCTGGGATCCCTGATCGCCACTAGTGGCGGATCCAACTCATAACAAGGTGGGTCCTGAGACCCACCTTGGCTCAAGATTATAGTGTTTGTTAAATCTTATTGTATAGGTGGTTCGATCGAGAAAACCTTCTGTTGGATTTTAAATCGTAGACGGTTTTTTTACTAGTATGAAACGGTTGAATCACGATTAAACCATGGTTTCAACATAAATATCATACTATTGAATTTTTTTAGTACAACCTGCTACGGATTTACATTCCTTGCTAAATTATTACACAAATAACAATATCTGTACACAATTAATAACTTTGGAACCTATTACCTCATGTTTACTGGCTTTAGTTATCTACAAATAAATTGTAGAAAACTTTGTGGTACACATGAACCTTGCATATTATATAAATAACTTATGACTTTATATAAAACTGTCCCTAATTAAGTATTATAAATTTACTAATTTCTAATTTAGTATCGAATTATCCACCTTCCAACGAAAATATGTCGACATACTATGAAACGCGTTATAAGTGAAATCCTGGCTACGCCAATGATCGCCACTTCTTTTGTCCGGTGTCTGGGGCAGAATAGAGTGGACACGATGCACATGGGGGGCCTCATTACGAGGATAGCCCGACACTTCCAGGTGAATCTGGTGGGGTGCACCAGCTTTGGGTGGACGGCTCCCTTCCCAGTGGAGACACTCTATAACCAGAAGCTGGTACTCCAAGGAGAGCGATGAGTGGAGTACCTTGAGGGACTCCGACCTTCAGGAGTCATCTGAGCAGCAGTTGACCCGGCTCCAGTGGAGCCTGACCCGGAGGTCCCTCCACCAGCAGAGCAGGCACCTGCTTGTGCACTCGGCCGCCGCCGACGTCCAGCGCTCCAGCGCCCAGCACAGCCACCAGCAGCAACAGGTGATCCCCTAGTCTAGAGGGTGGATCACCTTGAGACGAACTTCGTGTGATTCTCTTCCCGCCTCGGCCGACAAACTGATCTGCTCAAGCTTATGGCTCGACGCTAGGGCATCCTCCCGTATGAGGCCGCGGGTCCTTCCACCAGAAAGAGGTAGTCGACGAGTGAGACATGTGACAGAGCCGAATCCTTTCGTCCCACTTCTCCACTTGTAACCCTGAACTTTATTTTTGTTTTTGTTATTTTTCTTCATTTTGTGTGTGTGTGACATAAACCACTACTAACGTATTGTGTTTGTATTAACCTCGCCTCGAGCGAGTCGTATTGTACTTGTGTGTGTATTTTTTGTCTCTCCTTGAAGCTCAAAATATCCTACCCCGGATTCGATTCCAACTTTCACTCACCAAGCCCAAGCGATAATATCATCCTACCCCACTCTTAAACTCGACATTGCCCTGATGGATGCTTGTGTGAGTGTGATGGATGCTTGGAGCCTTGATATATGCCCAAATTTCAAAAATTGGAGGGCTCCAAGCAATGTTTGAATGATCAAAGTGGCCAGTGTGTGGGAAATTTTCGTGTTTATTGGCATCGATCTTGAATTGTTGCATGTGATCGAGTATATTTTATGATGATCATGATGACTGAGATGTTCATTAGGATAGTGCAAAAGTTTAGTTCTCATGTGTGCATAAATGAATGATGTCTTGACTAGATTACTTGTTGATTACAATTGTCATGCATTGTGTTTGTGAATTGGAATAGATGGTTGGGTGACTTGGTAGCCATGTGAGCTTTGAGCCAATCGTTTTCTTCTTGTGTGCTTAGATCCCTCTTACCATGGCGAGTAACATCACAGTTGTCACTAGTGAGTATGATGGAGGTATAGGAGTAGTCCAAGCCCAAATGTTGATTGTCACGAAATGTGTTATCCACTAGTCAACCCCTTTGAGCCTTGTGGCTTCGAGGGTCGTTCTTAAGTTAGGAGCTTCTTGCTTGTGAGCTTAATGATGTTAATAGAACGACCCCAAATCCTTTCTTTGTGTCTAAACATCAGTCGTCCTTGTGTCCCGGAGCTCTCACTTTTGAGTTCCATTGAGGTTCTACATAGGAGGTTTGTGTGTGGTTCTTGCTAGGAATGAGAAAAATGAAGTGTAGTGTTGGAGTGAGTTCCTCAAAAAGAGATCATTGGTCGTTAAATGTATAGGTGGAAAGTGTTTTTAATCTCTAGTACCCCCCTCAAAAAAGAAAATAAAAAGAAAGAAAAGAAAAGAAAAAGAGGTAATAAAATCGGGTAAATAAAGTAGAGAGTGCCACAAAAAACCACAGTACATGCTCTAGGAGAGGTTTCTTGGCACCCAAGCCATTGAAACCCCCACATTATTTTAGAACTCCTTTACTACCAAACCTTAATGTGCTAGCAAGAGTAGACCGAGGAAGAGTGTTTCAATGTAGTTCACGATGGGTAATAGTTTGGAAAGGATAGATAAGGTTTTTGGCCGATGCTAGTGGCCTTGGGTGAAAGAGAAGGGTTTTGGTCGAAACCATAGAACCTTAGGGTTTAGGTTGAAGATGTAGAACCTCACGTCATGATTTCCACCACCCAAAAAGCCTTTTCCCCATATCCAAGACAATTGCCAGCCATATGAACCCGTGTCTAAGACCTCCGGACAAGCTAGTGGTGACAACCATCCTGTGAACTCTAACATTTAGAGGTTACCGCCATGGTATTGAGAGGATAGGGCCGAGAGTTTATGATTGTGCACATCTTTTGCACCAAAAAGGTCCCGACCACAATAGTCTTGAGAGTGAGTGATTCATTCTTGCTTTGCATGTCATATCATACCCCGGTTAGGACCTTTGTTGCCTTTCCATTTGTTCCCCGGACTTGAATTCCATGCATGGTTTGTTGTGGTTGATAAGTGTTCCTTGTTGAGACTTGCATTGATCCATGAACAAGGTGAGAACTTCTCGTTTGCCCGTTTTTGGTGGCTTTGAATGTCGCTTGTGGTGGATGTCGGTATTGCTTGCAACGGTCCATCACTACAATAAAGAGGAGCTTTGGGGACGACAAAAGTTGTCCCCACAAATAAGCAAAATCGTCCCCATAGTTCTTGGGGACGACTAACTCGTCCCTTATACCCTTGTCCTCTATTCTTATGAGGATGAAAAAAATCTAGGTAGTCCCCAATACTAGGGACGACAGTCGTCCCCTATACTGGTTAGTATTCATCTCCTCTATTCTCATGAAAGACAACATGTTGTCCTCATAGCTATAGCTTTGGCGACAATAAGTCGTCTCCAAAGACATTATTGTAAAGGAAAATAAGTCGTCCCCAACTAAAAAAATGTGATTTAAGAATAACAAATGGTCCCTTAAACTATATATTTGAGGACAATAAATTGTCACCTATTTGACTTTTAGAAACCATCAGTGGTCCCTCAACAAGTTTTCTACTAATAACATGCCTTACATGTAAATTTTTTTAGAACAATACATAATACACTAGATAGGAAGGGGTCCTTAAGAAAAAAATACATAGTAAAATAAGTAAGAGATAACATCTTGTCTCCAACATTTTTCTGTACTTATTCGAATAGAATATCCATAAACGACTTGTAAGAGAACTCTGCCTACCAACAAAATTTACTTTGCTTAACACTATAGACGTGCTCAACCTCCCTGTTCTGAACTACAAACATGCTTAGCACTAGATTTACTAGGCTTGCTTTTGGAATCTCGAGGTTATGACATTTTGTTGGTCTTGATTTTCCACTCTTCTAATTACTTCAGTGTCCAACTATGCATAGAAGTTAAAAAGTCCGCCTGTCATGGAAACTGAAGTAAAAGGAAATCAAATAGCAATGTTAAATAGAGTAAGAAAATACAATCCTTTACATGGGACAAGCAAACGTCTAAGTGTGGGGGAGTGATTCGGCCTAGTTGTACATGTTTTGCCCCCTTTTTCCTTAGGCGTTTGTGGCAACTTCGCTCCTAAAAGGGTGGTTTTACGCTAGGTTTTTTGTGTTTTAGTGTGTTTCGGGATTTAACTGGTGAAACCCTAACTCTACCATGGAGTTTTCTTTTATGTGAATTGAATGATTGTCATTGGGTATTGTTTAATTCAAATGTTTGAGGTATTATTCATCTTGATTGTGCATGTTTGTGCTTAGCATCCTTGGGTTTGTGCATGTCTATGCTTAACAACCTAAAGATTGTGCATGTCTATGCTTAGTAATCTAATTAACAACTTAATCTAGTCTAGAGAGGGAAACCCCCCTTCCAAGAGAGTCTCAGTTGAGTTGGTATCCCTAGGGCTTTTCAAGTCTTCTAACTAGGTTAATATAGGGCAAACCTCAATATTGGATTAAGCAATTTGGTTAAGCGTGATTAAGCCGTCCAACCCTTGGGTTGAGTGAGGGAGTAAGTCAACCATTGATTGCCTAAACCGAGAGGGCCTAGTGACAACCTATAATGCATGCCTCGGTTTAGCAATCATGAGCGTGGTTGATATTCGGCTTTAATATATCGGATTCTTGGACTTTATGTGATTATCCGTGGTATGTTTTAGCCGATTGGTGCTAATTTAGGGCTCGCTAACCCGGAAATGGTTGAAAAACTATTACTGCCTAGTGCTATGAGTTTGATATGTTACAGGTGGAGAAAGCACGAAAAAGGAGCGAGTGCACAAGCAATTAATCGAACTCGAATCACTGATGGTATACTCAAATGGGCCAAGAAGAATTTTCGGACCAGGAGCAGGGATGAGACAAAAGAAGATTGGGCCAGAATTATGGAGCTGGGCGCCGCCAGGGAGAGAAGCAGAGGGAGGACGTTTCTTTTTGTCATTGTGGGGAGGCAATTTTTGAGTGGGCTGGGCCTGGAGCAATTAAATTGGAGGAGGCTTGGGGACAGAATCTTGCGAGAAGGGAATTAAAGGTCTCTGGTGGCGGAACTTTGAGGAGGGGGAATAGAATAAGAAGGGAAATTCTCTTAGGCAATTAAGGGAAGGAAGCAGCTGGCGGCACTTAATTGTTATCGGGCGAATTTCTTGTGGAGAAAGAAAGGGAGCGGCGCAGCAGGGCAGCAGGCAATCAGTCGATTTCCATCGGCGATTGAGTTTTTTCAAGGCTAGAGCTGAGTTCAACGAGAGCGATTAGTTGGTTTGATTTTCTAAACTGAACTAGTTGTGTATTGTTGATTTAGAACATGATGAACAAAACCCTATCGATTTATCTTAATTTCGTCATGAACTAAACCCCAATTTCTGGGGGAAACACCATAGGATGTAGCTATTTCTTGATTTGATGGATTGATTTATGATTCTTTTCTTCCAATCTCTATTGCATGAAATTGCTTAATGCTTTGTGTTGACTGGCCACCAATACAATGAATCGTAGTTGATTAGGTTATTAGCGACAGTGAAACCCTATTAACTGAACATATTTCATGTGACAT